ATTAATATAAACTATTTTCTTTCCTTCACTTTGCCTCCCTTCCCCTCCATTTCTTCTTTTATGAATTTTTATCCAAACAAATCGTTAAAGTTTAGAAGTTTCTTAAAAAGAAATGTCGTTATTTGGCATTTTATTTTATTTCATATGTTAGTGTCACTTGCAAGTATCACAGAAAATGCCTCCTCCAAACGCAAACTACCTTGTGAAGCCGGCGCTGAACTGCTCTGACTCGCGTTACTTCACTTTGTATTTGTAACAACGAAGAGAACGTGCGCGGAGTAGACTCTAACGAGTATATTAATTCAACAAACTAAATTAGGCAGCACAGTGACAGGTACCAGTCTATATTTATAGTCAAGCCTCATGCATCATCATTTCATTTTAAATTCAAGGCAATTCATGTGCAGGAAGATGGAATTCCAACATTAAAAACCTGTTTAACTTAAGCAAAGTGATGGGAGAGGAGGGTATATCATTTCAACCAATTACATTAACGTCTTAATTTAATTAGATGAAATATTCTCCTCCCCTCTCTCTTCTCTCATTCATTTTCCTCAAACCTAACAGGCTACGAGCGGGTTAGAACTGACCTAACTGAGGGCACTGCTAGTTGAGCCTCCCAAGGGCTGAGCACTCTCAATATGTGTGGATCTGAAGCAATGTCGGCAGTGAAGATTAACTGAATTGTGTTCTTTGGGTTGGGTTGTTCTTGTAGTACATACATCCAGGCCTGACCCAGTTCATATTAAATTCAAAAAGATCTAAAATAATAATAATGTTATTATTAAATAATAAATTACGAATAAGTATTGTTTGTTAATAAAAATTTAATATGATAATTGAGTTGTCTCCCGTTCATATATATGTATAATTGTATACAATATAAGTCTACATTTTTGGCTTGCTATGCAAATAGTTGTGTCTTATGGTTTAGGTGGCTTCCCTAGGTAGAGAGTAATCAAAGTATTGACTAAGGCACACATGCATAGTATTAATCAAATTTAACAAATTTATGCAAAAATTAAAATATTGCAAAAGGAATTTCAAATGCTATAATGAATTTAGGTTGTGTAATAAAAAGCAACAATTTTTCATTTATTTGCTACCTACCTCACTCGTAAGGATAGCAATTTCTTCTGAGACTTACGAAGTTTCGTGGAAATTTAAGCCGCGGGGATTGAGTTTTCAATAATATTCCTCCCCGCGGAATGTGGATGAAGGTATTTTTGTTTTTTGTAAAATTTTGTGGGGAATTCCTTTTGTCCCGTGGAGAAATATGAAGATCCATATATAATTAAAAATATATTTATATATAAATTTTATATATTTAATATTTAACAGGAATTTCACATACTCACGAGATTTATCATTCTATGTGAATATGAAAACGAAAGCCATTTTTAACCTCCAGCCAAAAATCCTTGTAGGAATCCTTATATCTATCTTTAATGGGGATG